CGAATAACCAAACGTTACAACTAATAAATTCAAAGTTCAAGCATCCGCATGTTCTAGAGTAGAGAGACGATCCAAGTACAGAAGAGTACGAAAGAACGATATATGGTTGATCGCTAAAATTTTGTAACTACCAATTTAATAGTTTATAGTTTGAATTTGCATACTTTGCTCAACTGCAATAAAACTTCTTTCCTGCCGTCACACCTATCTCAAAGTAGCGATGATGTTATGCGACGCTAGTCATTCATATAGGGCACAGGTGAGCAACTACACCAAGTAAAATTTACCCTACCAGTGGATTCTAGCAATGACATGCTAGAATGACGCAGCTCTTACCCCAAAATCACAGTGATTAAACATCGCCAAGTTCTGTATTAAACCATGTAAATATAATAAATATTTAAACTGAATCATTCAATTCACTAAACTAGTGCCTAGATTCTCTAGAAACTTTCCTCTGGAAGACACATCACTTAACTTTTAAATTGCGTCGGCACTTTCATGAAATAAAATTTGCTGCTGCGCGTGCCATATCGACTAATTTCAAATTCGCGCCTTTTTCACAGAAAACGAGTTTTATTACTTACAACCCCAGCTACTGCCCTAAAATGAACATACGTTTCGAACCTCAAATTCTGATCCAAAAAAATTTTTTATGATCTTACGGATGTTCCAACTGCTCAATGCGCATATAACTTTTACCAACTACTATAGGTTCTTAACTTGGATCGATAGCCGAAGCAAGTGCTTCACAGCCAGAAAAATGGCTACAGCAAACTGACGGAAGAAGGGATTGCTTACTTACTTGACAGCAGAAAAATTTTATAAACAACTGCTTTATACGAATGAGTGCCGTTACATTTTGGACGAGTTACCAGCACTCGTTATAAATAAAATGAACCATTCGCACACTTCGGAAAAAACATCAGCTTTCCATAACTCTTAATAATAGGACAAACTGCATTCTAAGTTTGCAATTGCGAGAGAGGTAAGATGCTGGCTCTCGGATTTAATATTCACTAAACTATGATTTAAAAATGACACCTGATATAAGATGGACATGCATTTCTCTGGTATGCTTATATCAGCAGCAGTTTACCAACATGAAAAGGAAAACGTAGGTACTCAGTTTATCACTTCGACAAGGTATTTCAATTTTTTACTTGAGAAACCGTGATGTGCATAAATTCTACGACACCAAATGTACAAGTTACGGTTTTTGGACGTTCTGTTGTATGATTTGCAAGTACGCATCTAATAATCAGCACTGATTCGATTCAACGTTTTCATAGCAATTTTCATTGGAGAATGTAAAAATCTTATATTCAATAAAGTTAGTAGTGTGTCTCCCGAAGAAGTTTAAAGCCAAACGATGTATTGGCTTGAACGTAAATTTTTCACATAATTTGCTGATTTATATTAGCCCAGGCTGTCGTCTCGATCTCTTCCAGTCATTCACCGATGCATTTCGCACATCAGTTTGCAATTGAGGCTGCTGAAAATCTTGTGATTGCAGCCAGTTATATAAATAGGCATTGCCATTACTTTATTACTAATATCTCAAAGGCGATGTGAACGTTACCCGCTCAGTTGGACAGTGCAACTTCCAACGAGACCATGTACTTCTAAATGAAAACGTTAAGGTGTTCGTCAGGCAATGCTCGTCACCGGATAATTCAAACTGTTGCATCCTAAAAATTCTCAACATTCCGAAGCAATTTAAAGGTTCGTGCATCACTCTTCCTCCGCAAAAAAAATTAAGGAAACAAAACTTTCGAATCGTCTGACTTAACTAGGTGCAGTATTTCTTCGTAACAATCGGCTGGTACAGTTTGACAGAAAACTAAAGGAAGTTTTAACGGACTACAGCCCGTGTGTATATGACTTGTGTTATCCCGCAAAACATTTCAGAAGAAGAAATCATGATATGGCATTCAGGAAATACTCGCCTTTGCTTCGCCGCAAGGAGCAGACTTAGAAAAGCAAGAATTGGTCAGAAGTAAAGCATTTGAAAATATTCGACATACGGCAAGAGTTATTCAGAATTGACCAGAAATTTTCGGAGGACATAGTCAACGTCATCGCATCACCGCGTGATCTGTGAAATGCAATTAGAGGAATAAGCGGTACAAGCGTGACAGCTATTTACACAACAACGTTACCATGTTCAACTATCGTTTCCTAAAATTTGAAGATGATAAACGATCTTCAAGTATTTCCATAAGACTCTGTCCAAACTGGAACCAACACGAGACAAGCAAGTGAGGTTTGCCGAGGAGGACATCCGCCATCATGCTTCCCAACTGCGCCGAAATGTATCTCCAGGCCACGAAGATGTAGGGGCAGTACTCTTGAAAGTATATGATGCAACTTAGTACGCCTTTTATCCACTTGTACAGCAATTCACTTGATCCCGGAATGATACCGGACTTGTGGTACACAAACAGAGTTAAGCTTCTCCCTAGGTAGCAGACTCCACCTCACCGACTGCTACAGATTAATCATCTCTCAATCAGTACTCCTGAAAGTTATGGAATAATTTATTCACAGTGTTCTGCGCGAAAAGATTGAGCCCCAATCAAACGTCGAGCAATTCGCATATGGAGTGTAGCGTAGCACTCGCTGTGTTCTGTATTACAGCTGCACGATGCGGATGTAACAGTGACGAACTAGCTCCAACAGTTGACAAAAGAGATAAATTATCATGGCTTCCTGATGTCTTCATACTTAAAATGGCATGCCTGCTCCTCAATGATTTTCACGAAAATCTGTAAATGAGGCTAGTACCTCGAAAGTTTAATCAATTCCAAAGCACCGTAGCGCGCCATGCATAGATTGGTGGAAGCTTGTGTATTGCCGTGATCACCTGTGCTCAATTGGCAGTCTTTCCAGCAAAAATAAATTGGATTTGCTTCTCAAACGCCGTGCTCTACACGTACTATCAAGAATTTGACGCATGAATTTCGAAACACTGGCGAAACGAGTCATTGAACGAATAACATGAGGCGCCGTAAAACTTAAGGTAGGGATTTCAAATGATAGCTCCCACCCGCTCAATGAATCAGTCACGAAGCAAAGCGAAGGGAACAGACGGACCAACCAAATATGTTCACATATATACTCAAACGGAATTGTACAGGCTATCGCCAGTTCAGTTTATATCGCGCAGTTTAATAGATCATTAGGTTGAAAAGTTAGAGGTGAACTGTTACATCGCCTACGTTGAAAAACCATTTATTTTATGCGCAGCAACGCAATTTATTTGCAGTAAGCTCAGAAGCAATAAAGATGAATGAGCCATAGCTCAAATAGAGTAAAGAGCCAGTGTCGAGGACTCGATCGTTGCCCAGTCAGGAACAAGATCTGCTGCCATCTCATGGTGGCAAACCACCTGCACAAGTTTAGCATATTAATCACCCCGTTTAGAAGACAAGTTTACATAGATAGGGTTCTGAGGCGGATGCAGTTTTGTCCAAGCCACTAATCAGGTTCAAATAAGTCTTGCCGAAAATAATCATAATGCAGAGTTCAAGACACTCAAGGTATTCGACAAAATATCTTGCTGACTTGGAGTACAATCTCCTAGTAAGTAGTATTGCAACGAGCTGTGGGCTGCTAAGAAACAGGAGGCGGAATCTGTTCACAGGACTCTACCTGCAAGCACAACGCACAAATAAATGGTAAGATATCATTCTTCATATAATCTCTTCGTTCTGGCACCGACTGGTCTTTTCATACGCCTGTGGGTTCGTTGTTCGGTGACCAATCCGCGTTGATCTGCTGGCGCGGTGTGAAGTGTACCTTTGCTTTACCAGATGAGGAGGGTGAGTGCTCTCCTTTGTTCGACCCACGTTTCCGATCCTTTAATGCGATCGCTCCCTCCTTAGTTCCACCCACGTTTGCAGTTCTTTGTGGGAGGCGAGAGCCTTCCCTCTTGTTCGCTTCAGTCCAAAGTGGCGTGTGGGGGATTAGCGTCCAGTTGCTTCCGCGTTGTTAGTCAATCGTCGCTAACCGTTGTCGTATGGTAAGCGGGTTTCCACACCTTACGGCATACACATGCAACACAGCTGCGAAAACAGACCACTTCCTAAAAGCTCAGAAGTCAAAAATTATGAAGAACCTATCCAACATAAGAGATCTACAAAGTGACCATGAGGGGAAACTGTGAACGAAGTTTACCGCTTCAAAAACGACAGTAAGATTCTCTCCTTCATTTCCCGTGAATTTCACAAATCTTTTGTCGCTAGCCGATAAGGTGATTCAAACAGCGAGTGTCGTCAGCAAAATGCTGGTGCAAAACTAACGTCCCATCGTTCAAAAATGACGTATGCGTAACTGAATAGCAGTTTTCCATATGATCAATGCATTTAGAGGAAATTTTCATTCAAACAGTAAAACAGTGACACCAAACAAAACATAATGTAACTTATCAATCGGACATTAAACCCGTTTATAGTTTCAGTCACAAAATAGAAACAGGGTATGCAAAACCGATCAGACGACATTAATACAACGCACCAATGCCCAAATGATCCCGATCTAAAGCGAGTTAGAAGAAAACCCCAAAGGGGATCCTTGAAATCGAGAATTCGTTCAAACTTTAAAAAGTTTTGTTCAAATGTCACTCGGAACCAAACTTCGATTGATATTATAAACAAACCCGATATCTTACACGCAGTTCGACCGCGCAGCAGCAAACAGAAAATGAACAAAAAACAGAACGAAACATCAGTATGCGACAGTGACTTATTCCTGATTCGCTCCAAAAAGCAAGAGCGCACATCTGAATGTGACGGAGCATTGAATTAAACAAATGTCAGCCGTTACAGATGAAGGAGCCGAAGTGATACATCTCGAACCAACTAAAACGGCTCTGAACGCATTGGGCAAGTCAGCGGAACTATGCCTTGCACGTTTGAAACGCCTTCGCCTTTGGAACAGTGCGGGCGCTGGAGCCAACGAAGCTAACTTTGTCTGAAGTGTCCAAAATCTGATCAACTTTACACCTTCACCGTCGAAATATGCGACGCTGAACTGTACAGATTAGGTCTGTCCACCTCGGATTCTTCGGCATGAGCGGCTTCTCGTAAAACAGTAAGGTTGTACTCCAAACCGGCCAGAGTGTTTTTCAGCCATTTAACGTCCTCGATTGCCCGCGGATACGCGGCACGAAATGCCAAAACCAGGTTATTGATGGCCAAAATGAGGGCGGCCGCCCTGGCTTCCAGCAGTGCTGCCTGAATGGTTTTTCGACTGTTATACATGGCGCGGATCAGATCGTCCACTCGAGGCATAACGCGTCGGGTTGCTTGTTGCACTTCAGCCATCAGTTCCTACAACAAGCAAATGGTCAACGCACAAGCCACAAAAACTCCGAAAGGCGTGTGAAAAGCAACCTGCGATTCAAGTTAAAAATCGACTGTTACGCATTACAGATCAATTTTTCTGGACAGATTTAAAACTACAACTTAAATACAAACTCAGTACAAATAAAACAAGTGCCAAATGCACTACACTGAAACGTTGCCAGGTGGGCACGAAGTTTTAGATATGTAATTTTGGACGGTTTTCTAACACCGGTGCGATTCTATAAAACGAGAGGCGCAGAACGCCAGCAGATTAGTGCAGAAAATCGATCTTTCGGTAATCTGTCTATCAGGTTTTAGAGCGTAACGTACTGCAGTCAGAACAATAACACGTTGTTGTTATAACAATACAGTTACCATAAATCTATAATTTGTAGTTCGAGATTTTAACGCATAACTCCTCCAAGACCAGATTTCACGACGTATTGCACCGCCTCTTTGCTCCTAATTGTCTAGATGATCATTACGCAAGTCAAGTCACGGCATGGAAGAATGATGCGTTATCTGACTTACTTCAGCGTACGATGATACTTTTTTGCTTATGCAAAAGCTGGCATAATTTTTCCAACTACCAAAACAACATCTGCGAAATGATGTGAAATGCATCTGACAATGCAAGTGCTCAGATACCACAGCTGTGGCAGCTTAAATGCACCGTAAGCGACCAGGCAAATGGGGAGATGTAATACGCCGTAAAATTCGGTTTTGGAGAAATTATACGTTATCTGGAATAATTCGACATACGAACATATTCTGAGGTTTGTGCGGTTACACATAAGGGGTACCCGCTCTTTAAAAATCGTTCGTCATAAACGCGAAATGACGCTAGTGCACAAATTAATGCGAGGTGACCTGACACTGCATATACTCATATACAATTAAACCTGTACTAGTTAAGTGTTCCATAATCGGTTAGGACAAAGGGTGCTGTGCAATACACTGTGCAGTCTGATGATGGACGAGTCATGTGTTATGTGACAAACTCCGGCGTACAAACATACACAGATGTTAATTTGGTAGGTCAACATTCCTAGAGATATTCCTCATCGAAACTACTGCACGAACATTAACTTATTCGACTGCACGTAGAACGGATATGGTAGTCCTCCTAAGGAACTGTCAAATCAACGTGACGAAATGCCAGTACTGTAGTACAAAGTACCTACGCTAACTCGAAGCGAAATAGGTCACGCCACCACAGTCGCACTTCTGACGCGCAGAAGGACGGCACTCATAGCAAATACATCTTGGCAGTAGCTGATGCGTCTGGGGCTCAGTGACACAATGAATTTCAGATCAAGCGCGATTCACACGTGACTTCAAAAACTCATTACCTGATCTCCGTGCACCAGACTGAAAGACAAACCGCTGAGTTTGTCCGTCACCGCGTGACATCCCCGTAGAATCGCCAAACAATGCTCGGCCAATCCACCAGCGTCGTATACCCATTCATTGCCTTTCAGGATTTTCTCTAAAACAAAGTCTCGTTAACTGAACCGAACTAGATTTTAGCGAAAATAACGCCGTTGCATTTCTCGTTTGAAACCGCCCTTCTCGTGGTTGTGCAGTTTGCGTGGTTGGCCTCAATCAGCCGAGTGACTCACCACCAGAGCCTGTTCAACCCAGGGGTTATATCTAAAAAGGGAGGACCAAAGTTCGTCTCTTCCTTACCTAGCTGAGCGAGTAAACTACACGCTGCACGTCGCCTTCGGCGTTTTTGAATGGCAAAAACGCATTTCCAAAGTGTGCCGGAGTTTGACTGAAAACCAAACAACTTGCAGAAGACTAGCATAAGAATGGTCGATACAGCGCACTATGTTTGGAAAAACTTAAGTCAACAGTAGCAGGAAGGATCAATCAGTCCTCATCAGTGCTCTACGAAAATATGGCTCTGTCATTCTAGAAATTTGGGGACGAAGAGCATCATTTCAGGTTGTCCGGTCAGGTACGTAACTAGGCAAAAAGAGTATGGTGACCAAATACATACTGAATTTTTACGATTTACACTTTGTGCTGATTTTTAGTCAGCTACGTGAGGAATGGTGGCGAACAACAGCCGTAAAGCGCATGTATCAGACAAAGGATCAGTCGTGTCATGGCTCTGGCATGATCACATCGAAACACAACGCTATCCTTATTGTTTGCGGGTGAATAACGTAGAACTCGCTTTTCGGTTGGTTGAACTGAGACAAAGAATAGTGAGTTCCTTGTTCAAGTGAACTAACAGTTAATAAGAATTGATTCATGCTGTGCATGGGGCCTGAGTCTGGCGCATCTAAAATGCAAAGAAAACTACTGATCCACTTATAATAATTGACAGTCATCAAGTTCAGCTCATTCCTAGTAAGACCATCCTCTGTCCAGGGACGGAGGCACAATCCTGCGTCACTGTCCCTGTTTCCATGCGACATCCTGCAATTTTTCCACCTATGCATCTTTGAGAGACAATGGGTGAGGCGAATGTGCATCTGTGGTCTTCTGGTGATGACTGTACCTAACCGATTAGCAGAGAAATAGCAACTTTCTTCTAGTAGTAAGAAAGTAAGGTTTGCAGCCGTTCAATGTTGAGCGATGGGCGCTATTTGCTGCAACATTCTTTCATGAGGCTTAAAAACGCGTCACTGATTTTGCTTCAATGATATCAATCAATGGCTTGGGGATGTGTTGCGAATGCCTCCAGAAAGGAAGGCTAAGCAACTGTTCCTTGCAAATCCGACCGGCGGAAAGCCCAGGGGACGGTCAAGGTTAACCTGGTGCAAATATATGGAAGAAGCCTGTTCCAGACTCCATTTGTCTTTTGCCGAAGCTCAGACTCTGGCACAGGATCGGGAATGTTGGAAGCTCTCTCTGACGTGTCTGCCTCCGCGACCCGAAAGAAGAAGTGGCGATGGAAGATGAAGATGAAGAAGATGATGATATCAACCTAGAATATTTCACTGACAAAGGCTATAGACAGGTAGGTGTCCATAGTGCAAATTTGCATTGTTCTCGCACTCTCACATAATGAAACTCTCTTATATACCTCAAAAAGAAGACAGGTTAAACAATGAATGACGCCATCGAGATTCAAACTCGCAATGTTTCGACTCTGGGTTTATTGTTAAACCGAGGAGCTGCATCGTTTACGTAGGATCCACGATTTTACAGAAGGGAACTTCAAGAGAATGAACATGACTTCGAAAGGCTCATCCTAAAAAAAGTAGTCATCCGATTTTAGTTTCACAGACGTATCGGAGGGAGAGGGTGCACCGAACATTAGACCATGATTGTCGACGGCACAACCAAACGACGACTGTTCTGTGAACTTCGAAAAGAGGTCGACGCAAACTGTACAAGGCCCTCAACTGCTTCTGCCAGATAGAGCGAATGAAGTTGTTTTTGAAGAACTGTCAGACGTCTAACAGGTATTCATGGCAAATTTTGAAAAGGCTGAGATCGAACACAAAGTACATGAAATAACCAAGCCAATCAAATGCAATCTTGCACGAGGTCTTACACTGAGGAAGTACGGCGGATTCTGCGTTGATTAATGAAGAAAAAAGAGAGACACCCTTACAACTATAGAGGGCAGCGCTGGCTTAAAGCACAAAGACATTGTGCAGCCAAGAAGAAGTAACAATGAAACAGAAACGATCCTGATGACAAAGACCAAATGCAAAAACAATTCGGCAATGGTACAACAATACGAACCGAGAAACATAATTAAAAAGACCGGCACCATACATGCAGAGCCTGCGACGAAAATAGCTCCTTGCATAAGAAAATAAAATAATTCTTGTTAATTTAGGGCTGATGATACGTATTTTACATATGAACAATGTGTAACCAAACAGGTAACTGAATAGGACTAATGACAGAGGCCTGAACATGATCTGAATGATAAATATTTAACGGCAGATTATCATTTGCGAGCCTCGTCCCTTCCAGCGATGCTTTCGAATTTCACCAGGCGATATGATCAAAATTAGACCAATTTCTACCGAAGTGTCTCAAAAATTTGTCAGGTAAGGTGAGAAACGTCGAAATCTATGTAAATGCGGTCAGCCTGTCCGAAACAAGAAATGCATCGGTTTAGAGTGCAGCATTAATTCTGTACCATTTTAAATTTATTCATTTCTATCATTACACATTTCCATACAATAAAAAAAATACGTGGGTCATCGACTGTGAACAGTTTGGCCACCTAAGGCTCGCTGATACGACGTGTTTTTTTTTGCGGAAAACGCCAATCAGCTACAAGACATGCTGCAACAGCTCGAAAGACACAGTACTTAAGTCGAACTGAAAATAAATCGGTTAAAGAAGGAGATACTGCGATCGGACGCCCTGCCGAAAACCCAGGCAATATTTAGAGACGAAAAGATTGAAGTCGATAAATACATTTTCCTGGGCAAAGAGATCAACATTCAGCATAG